ACGAAGGACGGGCCGTGATTCCCCCTCTGGGGGGGGGGGGCAGTGAACACAGCTTCTTCCCCATCCAACTTCCCCTCCCTTAAGACAAAAACATCTCCCAGCATCCGGGTGTGAGCAGAAGGCGTGTTGGCTTTGGACCAGCAACAACACAGTCTGGTGGGGAAACCATGCACTAAAGGGTGTGTGTCAGGTAAAGCAAGGGGCTGGGAGCCAGGGTTCTAGTCCCAGTTTGGAGAGGCAAGAGGGCCTAATGGTTAGCGCAGGGGGGAGAGGCTAGGAGCCAAGATTCTCAGCTCATTTCTAGCTCTGTCACTAACTTGCTCTGTGGTCTTGGGCAAGTCACTTCCCTTCCTGCGTGCTCCAGATACCAGAGATGGTGTCTAGCTTAGAGCACGGCACGGCTGAACGAAGGTCTGAAAACACAGGGAGATGCCTACACGAAAGGCTTAGAAAACCACCAAGCATCACCCCAGGGCTCCACCTGCCCTTCGCAGCCCCGTAGCCTGAGATTTTAGACTTTGGGTCAAGGGCCAACAGCAATGAAAGTTGTCGAGTGCTGTGAGCAGCTCCCAAATCATGCCTAAATGCCTGGGCGAAGCTAAAACCGTGCAGGAAACACGGCTGAGATCGGATCAGTCTTCTTTGCTTGGTGCTAAGGCCTTGGTTACCCCTCCCTCGAGGCATTTGTCTTGGTGTCGGCAAACGCCAAGTGAGTGGGAGGCGCAAGAAAACCAGGTGATGCTTACCAGTTAACTGGTGCCCAGCCCCCGGCCTGGCCGGAGCAGCTCCCACCCTTGGTGCAGGGGGTCCCGCTCAGCTGCAGCTGCCCAGCCAGGCCCACTGTGCTGTGCCGCCCCCCATGCCACCAGTTGAACATAATTTAACCGGTTAACATTTTAAACGGGATTTTACATCCCTAGTTTTAAGCCTCACACATTAGTTGCATTTAAGAAAAGTTGTATGTTTGTATTAAGTAAAAAACCAAAAAAGTGGGTTTTTGCTGATTTCCAGAATCTAGGACCTGCCCCAAAGGACCCGGAGAAGCGGAAAGTGAAACTGACGAATCCAGTTGAACATAATTTAACCGGTTAACATTTTAAACGGGATTTTACATCCCTAGTTTTAAGCCTCACACATTAGTTGCATTTAAGAAAAGTTGTATGTTTGTATTAAGTAAAAAACCAAAAAAGTGGGTTTTTGCTGATTTCCAGAATCTAGGACCTGCCCCAAAGGACCCGGAGAAGCGGAAAGTGAAACTGACGAATCTCAGTCCCCAGTGAAATCAGCACCCGAGGCGCTAAGCGCATTAAGTGTTAATCCTTCTCTCCTATTCCCAGAGCAAAGGCGTTTGAGAGGAAGGAGGATCATGACCCAGTCCCTTTAGGTGTTATCGCGCCCCTGAACGAGGCAGCCCCGGAACACAGCCTTGTGGCCTCTTTGTGTAACGTGTCAGGATGTGATCTAATCATTGGTCCCCGGCGGCTGGCACAAAACGCTGGGCCTGCTCTCTGAGCCAGCACAGAGTCCGCAACGCTCGACTCAGATCCACGCAGCCCTGCATTTAGGGTACACAAGAGTCCTAACCAGGGATGTAACAGTGGAGTCCATTAACCAATTAAGTTTGTCGGTTAATGCTGGAAACTGACGCTGCCATGGGACTGCCAATTGGGGTCAGGTTGTTAAACCAGAAGCCCACCCACATTCCAGAACAGGTAAATTCTTTGCCCCTGCTGAATTCCCTCCATGTTAGCAATCGAATACGAGAGTCGGTATTTCCTTCCTTACACTTGTCACACAGAATGGCCGCGTGTTATTAACAGCAACTGTGAGGTGGTTGCATTTCCACGGTCAATGAAATGATTCCTCTCTACACCCAGGGTCTGTAAACCCTCGGCTAGGAAAGGCAGGCACGTAAGGGGTTTTGCAGCTAGTTTGTTCACTCTTCTGCTGATACTGGAATCTGTTCCTTCTTGTGCATCCACAGAATCATTAAAATGTTGCTACCAGTGATGTTTGCACTAGGGATGTAATAGTGTAGTTGATTAACTGATAAGCAAAAGCTAATAGGTTAATGCTATAGACTACGTGCACACATTCCCTCCCCCCCTCCCCAGTAAATTTTTTAGCAGGCCGGCCAGCAGCCCAGTTCAGTCTTGGCTCACACTGGGTCCAGGACCTACTCCTGCTGTGGCTCTGCATTTAAAGTGTATTAGGAGCCAGGCAGCCCAGCTCAGTTCCGGTATCAGAGGCAGCAGTGTGGGGCAGCAGCCAGCCAGTCCGTGCGGGAAGCTGGTTTTTAAACAGGCTCCCATTGCGGATCAGCTCCCACCTGGTACCCTGCGCTGCTGCCTTTGTATCAGAGGTAGTTGCGTGGAGTGGCAGGGGGCTTCTTAGTAATAGGGCGGCTCCTCACTGATTGCCGGGCCCATCCCTAACTCAGTGTATCTCCACCAGGGGTATGAGTACCCTTGGGTGTACTAGAGAGAAGTCTGGTGGGTTCATCAACACAACTGAAATTTGGAGAAGACTGAATTTTTGTTGTAAGTTTTACAGCGCTTTATTATTGGTGTACTTTTTACACCCAAAAAATTTCCTCGCCTGCCCGGCTACGATTCAGTTGTGTAAACAAATGTGTTGCAATTGTAGAAAAAAATGTGACTGAAAACTGTAGGTACTGGGGGTACTTATTTTTTTTAAAGGGGTACTTTATAAAAAAAAAAAAGGTTGAGAAACACTGAATTGATAAGAATTCATGAGGTGAATCGACTATTCGATTAACCGATATTTAACGTCTCTCGTGCTAACCCCACGCATTCTGCAGCCTGGCCAGCAGGAGGCGGAAACATTAGATGCAATGATCAAGAACCTGCAGAAAAAATAACACCAGCCCCCAGCACAGCAAGGAGCAGCATGCAAGGAAGACCTGGGCCTATTGGGGAGTAGGCCGCTTACACAGAACCTGGGGCACCGAGCTAGAACCCAGTCTAACAGAGCAACTAATGGCTGACCCAGAGCCAATCCGGTGACAGACACCGAGGCTGACAATTGTTCTCAACAAGGAGGAGCGTCACTGAGATAGCTGACTAAGGGTCGTAGCGGATGCTCCGTCGGCGGCAGTTTCTCAATCAAGGCTAAATGTGTTTCTAAAAGACCCAGGCCAAGCAGGGAGCTCCCTGGTTCGGATTATCCTGATGGCCAGGCCAGATCTCTTCTAGCCTTGGACTCTGCTCACATGTCCAGCCTCCCCAGTAGGAGGTGACAGACCTCTCAGCCACACAACCTCCCACTGATTTGTTCGCAGGAAGCTTGTGAACCAGATTAAGGGAACAGTCGCCTCCAAGACCGGTTGGAACATTTGCACGTGGATTTTACACTCCTCTTCCTCAGGCCTGCTTCTTCAGGCGACATCACGTGCCACCGTCAGCCAAGGAGGCCTCTAAAAGCAGGACGCCCAAAACGAGCGTTACCGGGAGCTAGAGCAGGGCTACTCAGTATGCGGCCTGCGGGCTGCATGGTGCGGTTTGGGTTTACGCGGGGCTCAACACGCAGCCGGCAGGTGGGAGCCAAAACAAAAAAGCAGTCAATATAACGGTCTTCTGTGGATATGCATTTTAGTAGTTAAATTCCATTCCTGGACTATCGTTGCTCATTAAAAGTGCTATGACATGGGTGGAAATTGGGTAAATATTGCATTTTATTAATATCAGCAGAACTGACTTAAATGATGATCATAATAATCAGGGCTCGACAAATCATGTAATTTGCTCGCCCGTGGCAAGTAGATTACAAGCCGGCACCGACGGCACTGCGTGATCTGCGCATGTGCAGCTCGCAGAACCACACGGCTGGCGAGCAGGGCTCTCCACTGCTTGGCGAGCCCTGATAATAATATAATAGATGGAGACGTATCTATCTCATAGAGCTGGAAGAGACCTCGAAAGGTCATTGAGTCCAGTCCCCTGCCTTCACAGCAGGACCAAGTACCATGCCTGACAAATTTGCCCCAAGCCCCTACATGGCACCCTTCAAGGACTGAACTTACAACCCTGGGTTTAGCAGGCCAATGCTCAAACCACTGAGCTATCTCTTGCTCCCTCCCTCAGGCCCGCATATTGTGCAGTCTTGCCTTCATCTTCGTATTCATGCCTGTCAGTGTGAAAGAAGCTATTTGCATATATTTGCATATAAAGTTGCATGTATAGGCAACCACACTTCAGCTGCAGCCCTCCGCATGTGCTGGGAGTATCATTGTGGCCCCCGGAGCTTCCAAAGTTGGGTAGTCCCGAGCTAGAGGGATGCAGCTAACTAGCAAGAGAGGGACGAAACTGCAGCTGCTATTTGCCCTAAAGACGGGGTGTGGTCTGAAGACTACAGGCTGCAAGGTTCAATACGACACCTTCAACCCACGAGGCCAGATCCTCCCCAAACAACTCAACGGGTGTGGTAAGCTGCACGGCCATATCCGCAGGGTAAACAGCCAGGTAGGAAGGAGTGCTTGGTAGGCGGCATTTTGGCTATGCCCCCACTCCACTCGAGTGCTTTCTACAGCCCAATTTAAAAGAAGGGCAGAAATAGTGCGTCTGCCTTCCTCGGGACGTTCACTCTGCTCCCCCGACAGTCCTGCCTCGTTGCCCCTCCATTCCTCTGCAGCCTTCGAACGAAGAGCGGAAACCCGACAAGATGCTGCGCTAGTCGAATGCGTTATAAACAGCAGGTAAATCGCCCAGCCCCCCCCGCACGCTCGGCTGGTGCAGGCTGAACCTCTCCAGCCTGGCACCCTCCGGAGCCACACCACAGGAGATCAATACTGTCAAGCAGCATCCCCGACACTTCCACTGCGGGCCGGGCTCTGAGAAGACACTGGGGGGAGGAATTAGAGCTAAACAGCAGCACAGAACACTGAGAGCCAGGACTGGTGGCTGTAAACAAACTTTATGGGACCCTGGCAAACTTGGCCACCCCCAATACGTCAGTGGTCACCAGCCAGTAGATCAGGATCTGTTGGTAGGACTTGGAGCTGGTGATAGGGGATCCTGACTGGTTTGGCCAAGAGGCTGTCAAGGGCCTCCTCTCCCCACTGCCGTGTATCTCCTGCCCTTCCCCGGGAGCCTCCTGCTGCTGTGCAGAGCAGGGGAGGGAAAGGAGAGGGCACTGATGTCAGGGTGCCCCCCTTGCACCCTGTATCCTATCTCCACAGAACGGGGGGGGGGGCACAACAGGGCTGGGGAGTTTGCTGGCTGCTTTTGAGAGTGGTGCAGGGCCAGGCCTGCCTTAGCCCCACTGCACCACCCCTCAGGAGCGACCTGAGGTAAGCAATGTCCAGCTGGAGCCCTCATCCTGAACCCCTGCCCCAGTCATGAACCCCCTCCTGCACCCCAACTCCCTGCCCAGGCTCAACTCAGAGCCCGTCACCCTCCAAATCCCTTAGCCCAAGACCAGAGCCTGAGCCCCAACCTTCTGCCCCTGCCTGATGAAAGGGAAGGAGAATGGGGGAGGGAGGGAGGATGAAGTGAGCAGGAGTGGGGCCTCGTAGAAGGGGTGGGGCAGAGGCGGGGCCTTGGAGAAGGGGCATGAAGGAGGCGGGACAAGGGTTTGCGGTAGATTTGGGTAGATCGTGGATTGCACTTATATTCAAAAAGTGATCTCGTGCTTAAAAAGGTTGGAGACCACTGCGATGAGTGGACATCCGGCAAATTAAAATCATGCTGGACCAGAGAGGTTCAACTGAACTGTTACCCCCATTTTGCAGATGGGGAGACAGAGGCCCTGGACAAAGCCCAGACTGCTAAAGATATGGAGGCATCCCAACACCTACCGGACTTTGGAGCCTACGGCAGTGAAGTGTTTCAAAAAACCCTTTAAAAATCTGAGCCAAAAATAATACCAGCCCAGAGCACAACTTTGCAAGTCAATGGCAAAGCCAGGAACAAGCACCCAGACACCTGGCCTCCAAGTTGTCTGCTCCGACCACTAGGCTCCGTCACACTGCAGAAAAGATTCCTGCCCACGAACCAGCAGCACAGCGGCTCCACCCTAGCTGCTTTGGCAACACAAGCGTATTTCAGCAGCAAACCAGTGGACTGTTCAATTTAAGACCGGCGCGTCAGGGTGCCCGGCAGCAGCTCCTCCCACACTCACCAATATATTGATATTCTCCTTCTGGTTCAGCAATGACCGCACCTCCTCTATATCGCGGTTGAAGATGGCTTGGACCAGAGGAGGCTGCAAAGAGAAAGACAATCACACCGTGAGGCAGGGACAATGAATGTGCACGGCCGAGAAGAGATCCATACCCGCCCCCGAGACCAGCACGAGACGTTAGCGACACCACCACACCTCTGGTTTTGGGAGGACCCAGATTCAGTGGCAAAGAACAAAATCTACTGAGCCGTGCCAGTGAGGAGTCAGACCCAGCCGCAGCTTCTAACAGGAGCTTCCCCCCAACCCGGCAGCGAAAGGCTTTTAATATTCATTCAAGTCAATTTCTGTTTAAAAAAACCCCAAAACACAAAAACCACAGACCCTGCTGCTTCTGCAAAGCTTAGAAAACGTAAGGGAAGTTAGCGGGGGTGCAGACTGCCAGGTTATCCACCCTGGAGAATAAAGGCATATGATCAAGAAGAGCACCCCACCGACAGACCTGGAAAGACCACGGTTGGGAGGGTGGGTCAGAGAGCACCCATGTAGGCCCAGATCCTGGTCAGTGCGAACAGGACCAAACCCTGGGTCCCCCGAGCTTCCCTACAATCCAACTGCTGCGTGTTGTGGTGGGTTCTCTGATGTGGAGGCTTTCCTACTGAGGACCGGCCCAAAGGCCCAAACCCCTTTCACACAGGGGCCACGCTCAACAGCTGGCAACGGCTTCTGATTACTCTGTTGGGGACCTTGTAAAAGAGGGATTGGCCATTTATAAGACTAGCCAGAGTCATAATGCCAACAAAATTGGTTCAGGAGGACACACAAATCTTCCTGCTTCACAGCTTAAACCATTCTCTGTTGGGATGAGACCTTCCTAGAGGGTAGATTATCCCACGTCTGCCCTCCCTGGGGGCTGCTTGCAATTTCCTTTCAAGCGGCTGGTGCTGGCCACGGTCTGAGACAGGCTACTGGCTAGATCACGGTAGCCAACCCATTAAACAAACAGAGCCGAAACAGTAGCAGAAAAATGTGAAGAGCTGCACCAGAACCTTTTTTTTTTAGCAAGTTTTGTTTCCTGGGGGGGGGGGGGGGGGACCAGCCCCTCAGAGTTGTTGAAGGGGGGGAAGAATGCTGCCCCTTTAAAAGACAAGGCCTTTTGGCCACATCAGGCTCCTGTCTGCCGCTGCCATCTTGGCGATAACATCTTGAATCATTGCACTGGACAGCTCCCCTGCCCCGGAGAGCACAGGGAGTTGGGGGGCGGGGACCATTTCTAGGGGCGCAGGGACGGTTTTGCAAGCTCTCAGAGTTGTTGAAGGGGGGGAAGAATGCTGCCCCTTTAAAAGACAAGGCCTTTTGGCCACATCAGGCTCCTGTCTGCCGCTGCCATCTTGGCGATAACATCTTGAATCATTGCACTGGACAGCTCCCCTGCCCCGGAGAGCACAGGGAGTTGGGGGGCGGGGACCATTTCTAGGGGCGCAGGGACGGTTTTGCAAGCTGTGGGGGAGGCTTCGCGAGCCGCACTTTAAGGGGTTGGCCACCCCGGGCTAGATGGATGACAGGTCTGATCCAGTCTGGCAGTTCCTACGTTTCTTACCCAGCCTGATTTGGAACGAGTGCCGTAGAGGGGAAAGATGCTGCATCCCTCCTCCAAATTCCCTGAGCTGCTCACTCCCAATGGGATATAGCATCAGTCAAGCAAATACTCAAGACAGCTAGATTGTTATGAAAAGCCTCCTGCAGGCAGAAAGGCAGGCCCTGAACCCAAGGAGTCTCTCTTCAGAGCCCATGTAGGGAGCCGAGTGAACACGGCCTAGAGTGGGCCTCTCAAATCCCACGCTCAGTAACCGCCAAACCCTTCTCCCCTCCCACAACACTACTCCTGGTTCTAGCTTTAGTTGCCGTAAGATTTGGCTTTAGCCAGAAAATGCCAACACTGAACTTCCTGGTGGCCTAAAATGGATCTTGAAGGACAAACAGTTATTTATGCACTCGGACTCCAGGTCTGTCCCTAGCATCACCCTCCGTCCCCACCTCTCTGCTCCTGGAGGCTGAGACCAGGAAGTCAGAATCCCAACTGGCATCTTTGGTTCTGACGGCACAGGCATAACACACCTGCATCAGCAGAGGCAGCCCCACGCTTTGGCAGCTACCCTGCACCTCTCTGCCAGGCCCAGACTACCCGCCATTGTTTATCCTGGGCCTTTCCGTCTGTACAGAAACAAGTGCGCTGGGGCCAGGACTGAAAACAAACACCCTCGGCTCAAGGCAGCCCAGTAAGTCAGCTCTCTGCACCAAGCACTGGAGATCACAAGCCCCCACGGCATCTGCTCAGTAGCCGGAACCTGGAACTTGCATTTCCAGGGCAGACTTCCCGCCCCTGCTCCCCAGCTTCCCGCTCATCCCCTCCGTCCAAACGCAGGCATGAAAGCAGCTACAGGTGCGGGGGGGGGGGGGGGGGGGGGGGGGGGGGAGCATTTGCATGGAATGCAGCGGATTCAGTACCAGCATGAGGCATTTCAAAAACAAAAAAGGATGCACAGCCGATAATTATGCCCTGCACAGACCTCAGTGGCGCTTGCCGGCAATGCTGGGACTGACACACCCACCTACCATTCACAAGGGAAGCTGCATGTTTTGGTTACCCAAAAAAAAAAATTCTATTTAAATCTTAGGTCAGCTCCCCTTTTCAGCGGATTCAGTACCAGCATGAGGCATTTCAAAAACAAAAAAGGATGCACAGCCGATAATTATGCCCTGCACAGACCTCAGTGGCGCTTGCCGGCAATGCTGGGACTGACACACCCACCTACCATTCACAAGGGAAGCTGCATGTTTTGGTTACCCAAAAAAAAAAATTCTATTTAAATCTTAGGTCAGCTCCCCTTTTCCTTCTCTCCCTGACACGTGAGGCTTTAAAAACCTGGCCTATCAGTGAGATTGCAACAGCAAGGGACCAAGGGAGGGGTAAATATTTGGCTTCAAAGAGTCAGAAGCCTGACTCTCAAAAACAAACCTGTCACATCAAATCAGGGGGTAAAGATTAGATGTTGGTAGGCCAGGGGAGGGGGATTGGAGGAGCCAGGGAGGTGCTGGGTGACAAGCCAGGAGAGAAGCAAAGAACAATGATGCATCAACATATCCTGCCTTAGGAAGATGAAGTATATACACTGCAGGGAGAGGGAAATAAAAGTCCCGCTTCTTGCAAAAGCAGAGATGGTTGAAACCTGACCTTTTTAAGAAGGGCTGTGACACAGTGAACTGGTAAGCATGAGGCTTTCTGATATGCTTACATGTTAACCAGCTGATCCACCCTTGCTGGTGACCCCCAGGGGTGGCTAAAGCAGCCCCCATAGCAGAGAGACCAGCCGGCTGGGCCCCATAGCCGCTGCAGGGCCAGACTCCAAGTTAAAATGGTTCACCGGTGAAGCGCTAGCATTTAACCGGTTAACCATTTTAACATCCCTATTTCTAAAGGAAATGGTGCGTGGTGATGGAAGCCGCAACAGTCGCTCTTCCTCACACACACACACACCCCTTTTGGGGAGTGGGGTTACCTACTGAGATCAGGCAGCCCTGCTGAGCTGGGTGTTGTCCCACAAGCCAAGTGGTGTGCAAACAGGCCTCACATCTGCCCCCAAGGAAAATGGGGCTCAAGACCCGTGTTTGTAGGGATGCTGAATCACACATCCCCACCCCAGACAACAGGGGACATGCAAAATGCCTGCCAGCACGCAGGGAAATGGCAGGGCATGCTACCCCACTCCCCAAATAACACAAGTGTGTGGGGGGTGAGATGAATTGCCCTTTAACTTGTGAAAGTGGGGTGACCACTGTGGATGATGCCAAATCAACCCCCCCTCTCTCCAGAGGGAGGCTGAAAGAAGGGGAGAGTGGGGTGCAGAGGGAGCAGGCAGGAATAAAGGCGGGGAGACTCAAATCCTGTCCAGGACATTTTTGGGGGGGTTGCGGGTTACAAAGGTTGGATGTGGGGGGGCTGGTGGAGACGGGGTCAGGAAGGAGATGGGCACAGGAGGGCCAGGTGGCAGGGAGAAGATGGGGAGACACCAGGAGGGGACAGGG